ACTTGCAGTTGCGTCACTGTCATGGCTAGCCAAGAACCTCCGGCCCCTCTAGATGTATGTGTTCCAAGACAGAGCAGCCTTAGCCAGCCAAGGAAACACAAAGAGGACTGCTGCGGTTTGAGGTGGTGATGGTGGTAAGGTGATGGATTACGCAGGAAGAAAGCAGCAACAACAGCAGCAACGACAACAGTAGCTGAAACACGTCCAGGGCTTGTAGGAGCAAGAACACTGCTTGCCTATCAGTGATCAACCTGCTCACAGATGTTCGCAGAAACTAGCGATACTTCGGCCTTTGTTCGGACGAGTGGCAGCTGCCACGGAAACCCCAAGAAAAAGAGACCACCACATGCACACAGTTTGAGGGGCTGATGAAGTCTTGCCAGAGGGATGCCTTCCTCAAGTATTTGACATAGGCACTTCTCAAATTAGGTTCCCTCATATAACCCAAGGCCCATGGCTTTGAAACCCAAGGCCCATGGCTTTGAAAAAATGGTGAAGAGTGTGAAGAGCTGCACCTGTCGCCATGAGACATCGCCAGGAGCTCGGGGAGGGGGAGCCGGCGGTGCGTCCTTTGTGAGCGCGTTGTCACCTGAGATCCGGGCATGTTATCATCTTAAGAATGACCATGTTTTCAGGGATGTGATTAATTATTAGGCGATTTCTCACAGTCTTTCAGCAGCCCCAATCGTAGAAAAAGTGTACGGAATCGCAAGCCACGCAATTGCAGTGACCAACCCCATCATGTCTTGGACGAGCGGTGGCCCTATGTGATGGCGAGGCTGCTTGAAGGGCAGCCGGATGGAGCCTGTACTGCTGACCTGTTCTCATGGCAACCTCATGCGTTTGCACCAGAAATTCAGCACTCGGCTTCACGCATATAGTTGCCAGACATAGCGCGCTGCTTTTCATAGCCGTTTGACGCATGCGGCATGCGCGCGGCTTGTGCAGGGGAAGTAGGTGCCGTGCGTTCAGCTGGCTTAATTTCTGTGAGATGGCCTCCAAATTTTCTGACATTGCATTTGCCTGCACGACCCACCACAAGCAAGGACACAACTTATCGAAATCCTTCATGATCTTGAGGTTGTGTTTGCACGGGCATGCTGCTTATCATCAGAATTCAGAATTCTTGCTCTGATGCATTGTCTCAACATGTTGGAGACCAGCTTGCAAAGTCCCCTTGTCAGCTCGGGCTGTTTTCGCCTTGCTGATGCGGACAATGTATGCCACAGCCAAAGTGTGCTGAACAGCATCCGACAGCCAACCGCTGCTGCTTGGGCGGAAAGTAGACGTATGGGGATGAGCTGCTTAGTGTCCTTCACTGTCACCATGATGCCCTCAACCCAGTAGTCCTTGTGCCTGGGTTTCTGTTGGAGCTGTTCGTGGAAGTGCTCGTGTGTCTTCGAGTCACACAGATCAGGCCCACTTGTGTGCCACACAGCCATAGAGGCCCCCAGACAAGCTCCCAGAATATTGACATGGGCATTCTGTCCGTCTTTCATGATGAGGAGAGTTGGCCCTGCGCTCGTCCTGCTCGCGTGAATAGGGGAGGGGCCAGCTTCATGACCGTGCTAAGCTGCTAACTCGAGATAGGCACTTGTTTGCACCAGGTGTTTCGGTGACCTTTATGATGCAAAGCATAGCAAGCAAGCTACAGGTGCTGCTGCAGTGGAGGCGCACAGATGTATCTAAGCATAGGCTGCGCAGGGATGGTTTGCAGGTGCTAAGTGGCCGGCAAGTAGTAAAGCTCCATACATGGTGGCGATCGTGGAGGACCTTGACGATGATGGTGCTGAAGTGGAGGCAAGATGATGTGAAGGATTCTCCCCTTTTGCGCCCGTTTGTGGCATCTGGCTATGTGGACGAAGGTTTTGGAGGTCTCCTCCAGGAAAGTACGTCTGTAAGCCCTTGGTATTGCTCGCCAAACTCTGAACTCTAGGCCACTAAGCCCGGACCGCTCTGTCTTCCTCTCTCTCCCTCCAGGCGCCGGAATTGACCTTGTAAGTCATTACAAACCCCCCTGTATTCTTTGGACGCTGTAAACTGTAAACCCCACACTTTCGACCCTGTAAGCCCCCGGTGAGCCGTGAGGTGACCGGCTCTTCGGTGCGTGCAGGCACGAAGCCACAGCCAAAAGCCACGCAAAGCCAGCAGCTGGACTGAGTGTAACTAAGGCATTGGGGGTATAGGGATCTTATGGTTCATGTAAGAGTACATGATGAAGATAGAGTTCATTCCTATGGTCTGAGGTTTCTCGAACTACCCGACATGTTTCTTACTACGACTCTTGCCACTAGTGAATATAATGTGAGCATTGCCCAGCCTCATCCTGCTACTACAGGGCATGCGACGCGACTTAAGTTGCCCTCTAACTGTTCCTTGTTCGGTTGTGCGTGCTGGCTTGTTCGGTCTCTCATCACCTCAGCTGTCAACCTTTGCGGCTGGGCCACTGAGGAGTGTTGTGTGCTGAATCGCAGCCAAGGACGAACATTTGCATCGAGGATGATGTTGATGAGGACCGGGCAGCCGAACGATCTCAGTAGCTGTTATACTCACAGAACCTTTTGTGGCACGTGCTTTGCTGAGCGACATCCCAGTTCCAGGCAGTTTGCATCCAGCCACCAAAAGCCAAAAGAGCTCGGGGAGCAAAAGGTTGGCGACTAAGCCGTGCAGGGGCAGAGGTTCGATGATACAAACAAGACATAATGCCTCTCAAGGATCTGAAGAAAGAGTTTTGATCCTCCAGCGCAAAGGTGCTGCTGTCGCTGTTGTCGAGTCCGATTCGGACAGCTCCAGCTCAGGCTCGGTACATAACAGAACTTTGGAGAACTGAGACCACATGCAGCGCGCACAAGAAGAGGGCCCTCAATAATGCCGAGCAGCAGCAGCAGCAGCAGCAGGAGGCGGTGGTTCTGTGCCAGAAGGAAGACTAGACGGGCACTGCACTGGGAAAAGGATTTGCAGGATTTGGACTGCCTAGTGTACAAGATTTGGATTGCCTAGTGTGTCCAAACGGGTGGGCACAGTGGCTGGGGCGTAGGCTTTCCCTCAACATTTTCCAGCCCATAGCCTGGCAATTGGCCCCCTGACAGGGGCTCAAGGATCCTCAAGCAGCTCTGCAAAATGCTTGACATGCGTCAACTGTTGCATTCGCAGTGTCTCGACAGTCGTTGCGCATTGATCATTCAGGATCGACCTTGCAATTTATTGGCTGAGTTAGCAGACTTATCCAGCTTTTCAACCTCGATGTCATAGCTGGGTTGTGTTCCTACTCTTCCTGACAGTGATAGTAGATACCTCAACAGAAGGAACTAAAAGGAACACCTATTCACCTTTCAAAAGGAGCCCCTTTCATTTCCCCTGGCATCATCTTGCAAGCGCCTTCATGAAAAAAAGAAAAAACAACATTTCCGTTGCATGCAACTGAATATGCAGAACATATGATGGCTTCCGAGTTTTCTAGGTTCTGAAACTGAGGCTTGACTATGCCCTTACAGAAAAATCTCTTTGCTGAGTGCCAGACATGAAAACATTCAAGTTGGAACCTGGTTACATCTGAGGACCTTTCTGGTCACAGATTACAGGACCACGCAGGTGTTTCTGGATGCTCCGGATGACCTAGTGTAGAAGCTTGAAGGATGAGGAAAGTGGTTAAGGTGATCACCTCGTAATCATTGTAGCAATAGCATGCTATTCCGAAAGCTGTTCTATTAACATCCAGGATTCTACAGTATCTGCACTGATTGGCGGGAAGGCTCCTCCCGCAGTCGCACTTTGAAGCGACGTGGCGGAGCCGCTGCGGCCACGGCGCTGCTGTCGCAGTCTGCGCCCGTGGACGTTGACGAGGCAGTCTTGCATCTGCGAGTTCTAAGCTTTCCGCTTTTGGCGAGCCTGGGCATAGGTTGTTTCGAAGGGGAGCCCTCATTTTGAGAAGCTCTTGAATGCTTACCATGGCTTCAGGACATCCCGCGGCGTTGCACGTCTCCTACTGTTGCACTCTGTTTAGCGTGTGGATCCCCCCCAAAAAACAATACTGAGGGCCCTGATGAGGCCCTGGGGACTACTTTAAAAGGGATGGTCGGGATTCGGTTAGGGCCCAAAACGAAACACATTAAAGAGAGTCGTGAAACAATACTTTTAGCAAGAGTCTCTCGGCAAAAATCGTGCAACCTTAGGCTGGTCCTCCCAATGCCTCCCAGGGCCAATGGGAACGCGTCATTGCGGCACTGATGATTCAAGGATTGCATAGATCTCCAAAACAGGGAGTAACATTGTGTTTCCTAGGGCCCCCCAAAAAATGCTTGACACGCTGAACATTGCTCAAGCTAAGAGTTGAGCTCCGCAGTTGGATGTTTTGCCTAAGAAGAGAGGTCCCGATTGTTGTACGAGTCCTGCACGTCCGAGTTCCGCAGCTACCACATAGGAATGCTACAGCTTCAGCTGTGCACTGGCGCGACTCCACTGCCTGAAGTTCTGAGAAGCAAGAAGTTTTGTCCGGGTTTGCCACACCAATTGCTTCCTCCACCGGATTGGGAAGAATTTTAGGTTGCGCCTGTCGTGTAAAACTGTGGCAGCAGTTGTGTGGCAGAATTCTGCTGTCATGCTAGCAGTTAGCACTCATGTGAGAGTAGGACTGAGTAGGACGCGTTTCGGATCCCCATGTCCATGATCACCATTACTAGGGTGATGATAGCATTCATCTGCCGAGATACTAATTTAAAGGCTGGGGAACATTTGGCAAGGTCTTGGGTCAAGGACGCAGGTTGGTGACTTATGTTGTGAGAAGTTTGCCGCTAGTCTACATGCCTTGTAGAGGCGGCTCGCCTTGTGTCGCGTACCTTGACGTTGCCGACACTTGGCAGAGATAGAACTTGCCGGGTTGAAGACTGACACTTGTAGGATGCCCTTTGCGAGAGGCTGCGCTCCGTTCTGAGTTTGACACCGAACCGACGACTTGAAGTGATCGGTTCAAGCGAACACAAAGTGCTAGGCTTGTTTCCAAGGACAAGCTTCGCTGGTCCTTTGCAGCACGAGGGCGGTCTCGTAGCCGTGATGGCTGCGACTAGACTTGGAATGGTTGCATCATATACACGCTCTGTGAAGCACTCCCAAGGGGCGGCCCCTGTCCTTTTTAACAGATTTCTCTATTGAGCCCCTTTGGTCTGAGGAGTCCGGTGCCAGCATCAGCGCACAGCAGGGTGCCACTCCTACGGACACAGTGGTTTGCGTTGAAGGCTGGAGCAGCATGTCCACATTGGCTAATTAGCATGGCCAAGGAAATCAGCTTTCAAGATCAAAAGGAGCTCGCTTTGTCAAGCAGCCAGAAATTACCACACTGTTTTCACCAGGGTCACCGCTACTGCCCGGCTGATATCCTCTACATGCATAGCCTCCCATTAGCAGAAGATAAAAGCTGGAATGCCAATTCTGGGCCACCATGTAAGCAAAATGGATGTTTTCAGCATGGCACACGAAAGGTTGGGTAGCACTTTGAGGATCCGAGCGGGCTTCTCGTCTTTGCTTTTACTGCCATGCCATGCTATTCTTCAAAACGAGCCGCGCGCGTTTCTTTATCCAATTTCCATGCATTACATGCCCGGGATTTTTCAAGGGTATTCCCGTGCTCTGTGTACTGTAAAACCCCAACCCTGGGTCCGAGCGCCAAAGACCAAATCTCCAACCATGCAGTTTGGGCTCCTAGGCAACATTTGAGATGCTTTCAGAGCTTCTGTGGTGGGACTGTCCCTGCAGATGCAAGGCATGCATTGAGATCTGCTCTTGAGAAACACCAGACTATGAGGCTTAAAGCAAAGGGTCCGACTAGAGAAGCATGGCGGAAGGCACTGGCGAGGCAGTCGACAAAGCAGCAGCGCAGATACAGCAGATGTTCGACGAGTTTGCGGAGGCTGCCACACTGTCAGTTCTCAGTCGCACATGGATGACGTAGAGCTTGGGAGGGAGTTAAGGCGATAAGGGAAAGTTCCGGAAAGTTCAAGCTTCCGAGACCCTTTCGAAACGATGGGCTGACATGCACCAAGACCTCATTCGAGAATTGGCCGTGTGGATTGGGACTTCTACTGGGAAGCGGCTCACAGTATTTTGGGCGCCTTATAGGTGATGTGACCACATGCCAATCTGAATCTCGGCATTGTAGCCTTAAATTGCATTCCCCAAACGCCAGCCCCAAGGATTTGTGGGTCCACTGATTCCCGGGTCAAGGTCTGTTAGAAGGCGCTGTGTCTTTGCTGCATCGTGCTAGCCAAAAGAGCAATAATTACCTTACATGTCTTCTATCTTCAAACTGTTAATTGCGCACCCAATCAAGCCTACCAGCTTGAACCACATGCTTTCCTAAAGTGCAGCACTGCTTCACTGGCGCTTCAAGATATTCAGTAGCCTTCTCGAATGACTTCCAGGATATTGCCCGTTTGATTTTTAATACAAAGTGGCACAGTGCGCCCTGCCAGAGCTAGGGGTTTCCTCTCGATGTACAGACCCGTAGTACAAGGCGCATTGGGACGTTCCTTGAACTAGGGCTACTTTCAGGGATCGACTTCAGATATGAATTGGCCGCAAGGAATGTGGGCGTCGCTCCTATGGATCTCAAGAGTCACTTGTTTTGCGGCATTCCCATAAAGCCCCTTCAGCTTTCTCTGACTGCCAGGCTGAGCGGAAGAAGGTGGACAGTGAGCAAATGGAGTTTCAGCTGCATGCAGGGTTTGACGAACGGGACGCTCTGCATATCTCATGCAAGACCATTCTCAGAAAGAATTATGCCTGCAAGCTGCAAGCAACTCCGCTGCAAAGCGCTTGACACCCCCTTGCCTAGTCTAGTTTCGAGGCTTCTGCCAGAGTGAAGTTCAGTTGGCTGCGCAACGGAGGGCTAGTAGAAATACAATTACAACCGAGGACCAAGTGGAAATACCACAGAAGCTCCTGAGCGCCACCGTTGGCCCCAATGGCTCCGAATTGCCAAAAGCGCCTGTGCTTGTAGGAGACCGGTTTCTTTTGAAGCTATGGAGGCTTCATTGAGATCAAGGAGGGAGTCTGGTTGCAATAATGGAAGTAGCCAAAAATGGCGGGACATCTCACTTACCCCATCATATCATGGTCCTTGCTCGGAACTGTAGGTGGAGTCTCACTTGTCCGAAGGATGTTGCTCTACTCTGTGTGATTGAGGTGCGGGAGAGCTGTGGCGGTGTGATGATTGCGCCACCTGTACTGAATTAAGATATATGAAGATGAGTGCTCTTTGGGAGGTGATGTTTTGTTTTGCAGCGCCTTGTTTCTCAAGCTCATAATGTTTAGGTGACTATACTAACAACCCCCCAAAAAACTTGTTTGGCGATTTGGGCTTGCGGAAGGGGGG